TTAAGATTTTTTAATATATAAATTTGCTGCATGTTATATTTTTGGAAGTCCTTTCTCAGACAGACACCATGTCTAGAACTGAAACAACTTTTCCACCACTTAAGGCCACAGTACCTCTTGCGGTCTGGGCATGTGCCACACAGGATTCGAACCACGACCGCAATGGTTCGGGATTCGTGACACGTGGTTTAGCAGCTTGCGCCACACAGAAGACGCAAATAACTGAGCTGCAGAGGAGATCCTTCAGTATAGAATAAGCACACAAAATCATGTTAACGCAATTAGCATGCTAGCTAGCTCAATGCTAACGTAGCTAATGGTTATCCTGATAGCTGAAGAGCCGCATTCAAAAGAATTGCACCTGGTTAGCATGCTAAACAATTTTTATGCTAAGCTAACTAGCATAAGTCAACAAACACAGGCTAGGTAAACTTTGAGGCAAATATCTCTCAAACGATAGCGAATATCAAAAATCTGTTCAGTCATTTCTGTGCGGCTCGGTCCAAAGATTATCTGACAAAATTTTAAACAAATTCGAGCAAGATTTGCAGGAGGAGTAGCGAAAAAATGTTTTTTCATTTGCTCCAATATGGCGGACAGTCACATTTGGAAAATGAAAAATGAGACATCGGTGGAATCGTTATAAGCCAAGGAACATATTGATATGAAGAAATTACATTTTGAACAATATTTGCAAAAGTTATAAGCATCTTTACAAAAAAACCTTATAACTTGGGAACACTAGGTGGCGCTGTGATAAAACTTCTCATGTACCTTCAGGGCATGCTAATGATGATCCATGCCCAATTTGGTCAAGAAATTTCAAAGAGGTTTAAAGATATTGCAAATTATGACAAAATTCAAAATGGCGGACACGAGGTATAGCCCATCATGGCAAAATTGATATCCACGGATTCGGCATGATCCAAAGAATCCATAGATACCACATTTATGATTTTCTGAAAAACTGTTCAAAAGTTATTGGCCAAAATAGCAATTTTTCATATCTCATGACCCGTAGGTGGCGCTATTCCCAACTTTGGCATGGAACCTCAGAACATGCTTCCGATGAAGCGTACCAATTTTCGTTTCGATTGATTCAATTTTGGCCGAGATACAGCCTCTTAGCCAATTTTGGTGGGACCTTATTAAGTTTGCGACACCATAACTTTTGAACAAAGATGAATAAAAAAAATCTGTTCAGTCATTTCTGTGCGGCTCAGTCCGAAGATCATTTGAGCAAATTTTGGACAGAATTTGGACAAAATTTGAAGGAGGAGTAGGGAAAAAACTGAATACTGTACATTTCAAAATGGCCTCTACTGTAATGGGCGGGGTCTTAATGTAAGGTATTGGTTGTGATCAGCATGATGAGAGGAATCAGGTGTACTAAGTTTCATGTCTCTAGAGCAAAGGGTTCAAAAGTTATAACCATTTCAATGTTGAATTTTTGAACTGGTGGTGGCGCTATAGAGTTGGTCCTAGAGGGTCAAAAATTGGACCAATTACTAATAATTACCATCACTACAAGTGTGCCAAATTTCAACATTTTCCTACTTACGGTTCATAGGGCTGCCATAGACTTCCATTTACGGAATAATAATAATAATAATAATAATAAGAAAACTAACAGATACAATAGGGGCTATCCCCTTCGGGGCTTGGCCCCTAAATATAGCTGCAAGCAGCAATGCAGGGGCCAAGCCCGGAAGCAGCAGCAACTCCGACATTTGGAAAAAAAAAAACTGTTGGGTCAGTAGTACAAGTGAAAATAACCTCAAAATTAAGATTTTTTTAATATATAAATTTGCTGCATGTTATATTTTTGGAAGTCCTTTCTCAGACAGACACCATGTCTAGAACTGAAACAACTTTTCCACCACTTAAGGCCACAGTACCTCTTGCGGTCTGGGCATGTGCCACACAGGATTCGAACCCACGACCGCAATGGTTCGGGATTCGTGACACGTGGTTTAGCAGCTTGCGCCACACAGAAGACGCAAATAACTGAGCTGCAGAGGAGATCCTTCAGTATAAGAATAAGCACACAAAATCATGTTAACGCAATTAGCATGCTAAGCTAGCTCAATGCTAACGTAGCTAATGGTTATCCTGATAGCTGAAGAGCCGCATTCAAAAGAATTGCACCTGGTTAGCATGCTAAACAATTATTATGCTAAGCTAACTAGCATAAGTCAACAAACACAGGCTAGGTCAACTTTGGAGGCAAATATCTCTCAAACGATAGCGAATATCAAAAATCTGTTCAGTCATTTCTGTGCGGCTCGGTCCAAAGATTATCTGACAAAATTTTAAACAAATTCGAGCAAGATTTGCAGGAGGAGTAGCGAAAAAATGGTTTTTCATTTGCTCCAATATGGCGGACAGTCACATTGTTGGAAAATGAAAAATGAGACATCGGTGGAATCGTTATAAGCCAAGGAACATATTGACATAAGAAATTACATTTTGAACAATATTTGCAAAAGTTATAAGCATCTTTACAAAAAACCTTATAACTTGGGAACACTAGGTGGCGCTGTGATAAAACTTCTCATGTACCTTCAGGGCATGCTAATGATGATCCATGCCCAATTTGGTCAAGAAATTTCAAAGAGGTTTAAAGATATTGCAAATTATGACAAAATTCAAAATGGCGGACACGAGGTATATAGCCCATCATGGCAAAATCGATATCCACGGATTCGGCATGATCCAAAGAATCCATAGATACCACATTTATGATTTTCTGAAAAACTGTTCAAAAGTTATTGGCCAAAATAGCAATTTTCATATCTCATGACCCGTAGGTGGCGCTATTCCCAACTTTGGTATGGAACCTCAGAACATGCTTCCGATGAAGCGTACCAATTTTCGTTTCGATTGATTCAATTTTGGCCGAGATACAGCCTCTTAGCCAATTTTGGGTGGACCTCGTTAAGTTTGCGACACCATAACTTTTGAACAAAGATGAATAAAAAAAATCTGTTCAGTCATTTCTGTGCGGCTCAGTCCGAAGATCATTTGAGCAAATTTTGGACAGAATTGGACAAAATTTGAAGGAGGAGTAGGGAAAAAACTGAATACTGTACATTTCAAAATGGCCTCTACTGTAATGGGCGGGGTCTTAATGTAAGGTATTGGTTGTGATCAGCATGATGAGAGGAATCAGGTGTACTAAGTTTCATGTCTCTAGAGCAAAGGGTTCAAAAGTTATAACCATTTCAATGTTGAATTTTTGAACTGGTGGTGGCGCTATAGAGTTGGTCCTAGAGGGTCAAAAATTGGACCAATTACTAATAATTACCATCACTACAAGTGTGCCAAATTTCAACATTTTCCTACTTACGGTTCATAGGGCTGCCATAGACTTCCATTTACGGAATAAGAATAATAATAATAAAATATAGCTGCAAGCAGCAAACACGGGGCCAAGCCAGCAAGGCGCAGCAAGCAGGACCAAGCACAGAGCCAGCACATCAAGTACAAGCAGTGCAGCAGGCATTAAGCAGCAAGAGCATGCAGAGCCGCAAGAACAAAAAACAGCACAAATTGAATAACACATGTAAATGAAGCAATTTGATACATAAGTGAGCATTAAGCACAAACGCAAGTGCTAGCAGGAAGGAATTGAAATGAAAACTTATTACACAATTTTAAAGTCGCCCCACGTGGGACTCGAACCCACAACCAGAGTGGTTCGGGATTGGAGACACGTGGTTTAGCATAGCTTGCGCCACACAGAGGACGCAAATTTCTGAGCTGCAGGGGAGATCCTTCAGTATAAGAATGATTCACAAAAAACATGACATGTTAACGCAATTAGCATGCTAAGCTAGCTCAATGCTAACGTATCTTATGACTTGTACATCCAATCGTGGCAAAAACAGCCGCATTCGACAGGACGCAGGGAATCATAGATACCACATTTATTATTTTGCTAAGCAAACTAGCACAAGTTAAGCTTCTGATCCATCTCTGGGTCAACTTGTTCATTTGGAGGCAAATTTTTTTCCCAATACGATGCATATCAAAAATCTGTTCAGTACTTTCTGTGCGGCTCGGTCCAAAGATTATCTGACAAAATTTTAGAAAATTCGAGCAAAATTTGCAGGAGGAGTAGCGAAAAAACTGTTTTTCATTTGCTCCAATATGGCGGACAGTCACATTGTTGGAAAATGAAAAATGAGACATCGTTGAAATCGCATAACCCAAGGAATATTTTGACATATAGAAATTAAATTTTGAAGCAATGTTAGCAAAAGTTATAAGCGTTTTTTCAAAAAACAATGATATCTCTGGAACACTAGGTGGCGCTGTGACCAAACTTCTCAGGTACTTCCGGGCCATGCTAATGGTGATCCATACCAATTTTGGTGAAGAAATTTCAAATAGTTTAAAAGATATTGCAAATTATGACAAAATTCAAAATGGCGGACACGAGGTATAGCCCATCATGGCAAAATTGATATCCACGGATTCGGCATGATCCAAAGAATCCATAGATACCACATTTATGATTTTCTGAAAAACTGTTCAAAAGTTATTGGCCAAAATAGCAATTTTTCATATCTCATGACCCGTAGGTGGCGCTATTCCCAACTTTGGTATGGAACCTCAGAACATGCTTCCGATGAAGCGTACCAATTTTCGTTTCGATTGATTCAATTTTGGCCGAGATACAGCCTCTTAGCCAATTTTGGTGGGACCTCATTAAGTTTGCGACACCATAACTTTTGA